GAGCAGGGAAAGGCCAGGAGCGGTGCCGCCTCCGTCTGCTGGAGGCGGGAGGGTGTTCCCGGTACCCGCGGCACGCCCGAGGCCTCTGGTCAGGCTGCAGGGCCCCGTAACTTAAAACTTACCGGGGTGCTGCTTCTGCAATTAAGCACCCATCACAATTTATGATTGCTGTTCTTTCCCAACACAGGATTAGCTTGTGCCACGCTCACCTTTGGCAAAGCATTTGTTTTAAATAAAATGCCAAGACAACACTTGAACTTCTAAAACAGTCATCCAAATCACAGGCTGCTGGTTGTCTTCGTAAAAATAATCTGCCTTCGTTTAAGCAATGCTCAGGAGTGTACAGTATTCATGTTGTACAGGTGGAAGAAAGGTAATTAATGAAGCAACATAACGCAGTCTCCTTCAGCAGAACGAGCATGCCACAAGCACACAGGCTTACCTTGTAGGGCTTCTTCATCCTTGCGGAAAGACACTGAAAAGATAAACGGAGCAGCACGAACAGCCTTGCTTTCTGTTTTTAATGGCTCAGCTAGCCAAAATCTGTTCAGATTCTGAAAGAGTAGGGCTAGTCCCATCTCTCCCCAGTGACATGAATATCAGAAGCAGTCCTGTGAAAATTCTGCGATACCCAAAACACGCAAGTCTCTGTCCATCACCTGCAGAAGTGCTAAGCAGCATGATGCACAACAGTTAACAATAGAGGGGGGAAACGAAGGCTTTTCTAAGTTGCTTTTAATTTCAACTTAAGAAAACATACTAATCTTTCCAAAAATCTTGACAACTAAGGCTGAACATTCAACGTGGTTCCAGTAGCGTGAACATCTGCAGTATTTCCTTCTGTCTACCAGAAGTGCATCTTCTATTTTGGGTAACACACGCTCTCAGAACTACCTTCTCTCCATGGTCTGTAGATCTCTACAGAGAAATGGATCACAGCTTGGAAGGCTGACTTCATGTGAAACAGTACCAGTGCTCGTAATCTCAAACACATACACTCACCCTCCCTGAGGCAGCCAAGACCCATGTCCCTCGGCCTCTCTTCTCACAGGAACAGGTCATTTGCCCAGAAACACTGGAAAACAGCTGGTGGTAAAAAGGACTAGGGAGTCAGGTGTGGAAGTAACAGCCTTCTTTCCAGTTGTCTTCCTTCGCAACAGCCTAAAGCTCCTGTACCCATCTTTGTCCTGCATAAGGAATGCCTGGCCCATGAAGATGAGCATGTGCTCTCATTCCTGTCATTAAAGCAATCTCTTAAGATTAAATGGAAGCAAAATCCTTTAAGAATACTGCTGTCATTTCAGACAATTATATTTGAATTAGTGTAAGGAATGGTCTAATGGACAGTCAACATAGTTAAACCCTCTTTAAACCAAGCAGCTCAAAAAGCTTATTTTGTTGTTAAAAAAGTTTACAAAACAAGATGCTAATAGTAGGCTCTTCTGTGTTTCAAAGCCCACGCACCAGAAAAGTACAAAACGCTGTTTTTCTAAAGCAATTATTTTAATGAATTGACACTTAGAGGATGGATCCATCCCCTGTACTCGGCACTGGTGAGGCCGCACCTCGAGTACTGTGTTCAGGTTTGGGCCCCTCACTACAAGAAGGACATCGAGGTACTGGAGCGTGTCAAAAGAAGGGCAACGAAGCTGGGGAAGGGTCTAGAGCACAAGTCTTATGAGGAGTGGCTGAGGGAACTGGGGTGGCTTAGCCTGGAGAAGAGGAGGCTGAGGGGAGACCTTATCACTCTCTACAACTGCCTGAAAGGAGGCTGTAGCAAGGTGGGGGTCGGTCTCTTCTTCCTAGTAACGGGAAAAACTTCTTCACTGAAAGGGTGGTCAAGCATTGGAACAGGCTGCCCAGGGAAGTGGTTGAGTCTCCATCCCTGGAGGTATTTAAAGAACAGATAGATGTGGTGCTTGAAGACATGGTATAGATGGACTTGGCAGTGATAGGTTGACGGTTGGACTCGATGATCTTAAGGGTCTTTTCCAACCTTGACGATTCTATGATTCCATGATTCTATCTTGCCACTCTGTAGACCAAAGGTTAAATGCATTAAAGGGAAGAGAGGCATACTTAAACCCTTAGTTGAAGACTCCTCGCTGCAGAAAACAATTCCCACAGCAGACTAACCATTTCCTGCACTATTATTGAAAAAATATTGAAGAAAATATTTCAGTAAAGATTTCTACTTAGTAACAATATATAATTCTATTGCACCAGAAAAAAGACTAGAATAAGCACTGTTGATATTCGAAATGCCCACAGCATAGACACGTTTCATTTTAACATGTAGTTTTACAACTGCAGCACAAAATCTATTACTTCCCCATCACTTCATGTCCAATGAAGTACACTTCATGTACTCCTGGCAGCTTCGAAAAAGCTTTTTAACATATTAAAGGGGACTTCAGTCTCCATTTTACTCATTTTTTCTAAGGGGAAAAAACAGGTTTTGCTAACTGAAAATTTTAATCTATTAAAAATAGTTTACAAAATTTGAGGACTGACTTACTTTACCAAAGTAGGAAAAAGGGCTAACTAGCAACCAGTCGAAGAATTTGGTTCCGTAAGTATGTGCACAGCTGGTTCATCAAGTCTCTGTTCTGTCCTTCAACCCAGTGCATTTCTACCAATACATCATTTCCGTCTTTCTTCACGTTCATTAAACACTTAAAGAGAAAACATCTACTAGCTTCTTTGGGACTTTGTTCTTTTTCAACTGTCAGATTGCTAGCTTCCTCTGAAGGGCAAGGTTCCTCCTTTGCATTACTGGAACCTTTGCCAAGCGACATTTCTGCCTGCTTTGCTTCTGTCTCCTCCTCCTTCACGTGCTCACTGTGTTCTTCTTTGGCATCAGATTCTTCCACTAGCTCGTCACCTGCGGTCAAGTGAACATCCTCATCAGGTGCCATAAACCCCATTTCAGAGTCTTCAGTCTTGGGGTTTTCACAGTCCGAATTGTTGCTCACGCTCTTCTGGCTGCTTTTTTCCTCTTCCATTGCTTGCAGAGTATCTTCAGAAGCTCGAGGAAGTTCTCGTAATTGCCTTATTCTCTCTCGTTTCTTTCTCCTCAAATGAATCCAGGAGTTTTCAATAGCAGTCACAAACAGGCTAACTTCATCTTTTCCACAGGGAACACGTTTATGCTGAACCTATTGCAGAAAACAGCAGAACTTTATACTGTCCTCTCACAGTTATGCTTTCAAGTAGGATATTGTTTTAACGTATAATACTTAATACTGTACCTTCAGATCAGTGAGAATCTTCTCTACCCAGGCTCTCACCACAGCAATAGCTTCTACAGCATCCCAGCCCATAGCTGCAGCTTTGATGGATAACTCTTTGACTGTAGAAGCCAAGACCATAAATGTAATTGGTTTTCGGGGTTTTTCTAATTTTCTTCTTTTAGAGGGAGGTGACTAGAAGAAATAAAAAAAAATTACAAAGCTATGCAGTATTAGTGGGATGACTTTTGTACTCAGAAGACACGGGGATTAACAGTATAATGCAAGCCACTAAACAGTCATTGACATGGCCTGAGTTTTACTTCACTCCAAAGAGTTTTAGATTAAAAACAGCTAACAGGATCATGCACTTTATGCTAGCCTGATGGACAGGAGTATCTTCGGATGTTTGGCAAAAAGCTTCATTGGTTCCTACAAACTACTAGCTCTCTGTGAGCTGAGAAAGTGCAGCTACTCTTAGGAACAGAGGTCAAGTGCTAATATCTACATTTCATCCAAGTTCACTGAAGGTTTAGTTGCATCTTCTATAAGGTTGGTTATTGTCTATACCTATCCTACAGTACATGTACATCTGGATCCAAAAAAGCAACTGGCTCACATTAGTTAAGGTGAACAAGCTCCACTTAGATTCGTGTAGGCAAGTCTGAGCTAGACATGTTCATATCTATTTGGTAACAGAATCTGCATGGTAAATTAAAACCAAGTTCTCAGAAGGAAGCTTTAAGTTCAAATCTAGCCCCAAACTTAATGTATTTTTAATACTACTAAATTGCTATTTGAAGTATTTTACAAGCAACCCCTACTTTCACTGAAACCCACAGGAAGTTCCTGCACAGGCTTCTTTTTTCCTCCCTAAATATAGCTCATTTATGAATCACATGTAACAACTGCTAACAGACTGGCAGCCAGTTAAGAAATCCCACTGTCCATACAGCCCAGAGCATCGGATGTTCCAGTCTGAGGGAGAACAGTTTGTTTCACAGCAATTACAGCTCATTAGGCCCTTCCTCAAATAAGAGGCACAGGCAATCACAAGCAAACCAAAATTAAACTACTTACAGGTACTTGTACATCATCATAGAAACTCCATGCCAGTGCCCATCTCATGGTGCGTCCTTGACAGAATTCAGTATGAGTAACTTTAGGAACCTATGCAAAGAAGCAATACAAAACTTCATTTCGCTGGTTCATAAACACTGGTGTACTGCACATATTTTCAAATTTAAAAAAATTACGAAGTTAGCATAGAGTCATTTTCTCATGACAGAAATGGAGATTCTTTCTGACATTGCTCATGGATGTCAGGGCCAAGTGGACCAGTGAAGCTGGTCAGTGCCAAGCCTGGTACCCATGCCCAGGATTTCCCATCTCTGCCCTTTCAGAGCTTCAAGTTCAGCAACACACAACATCACCCTTTTTGTACAGCGATCCAGCACACCTACAGCACGCATCTGCATTCTGATTCCGCAAAAGCACATACCTTCTCCTTGTTCAGAACCTGCTCCTGTTCCACATTTGAATACTGAACCCATTGCTGTTACAAAAGAACACAGAACAAAGGGCTGGGAAGCCAAGCCACTCACCTGTCTGGAGATGGCAAAAATGTGCCCAGAAACACTTCTCTATCTTTGCCCCAAAAAATCAAGTCTGAGCTTACACTGCCTTTAAATATAAAACTCAATCCAATGCTAGTGTTAACTAGTCTTTCCACACACGGATGCTGTAAGGCATTTATGTATGGTATGGAGAACGTGCTAAATACTAGCAAGGATAAGCACCAACCATCCCACCCCACTCTGAATTATCAGCTCCAGAGCATAAGCCCCAGGTCTGCACAGAAAAAAAAAAAAATTCTTACTTTTGAGAAATGCCTTCAAAAAGAGAGAGGAAAAGGTGTCTCTATCCTGGAACTCTTCCTGCCTTCAGATTCCTAATTCTTTCAAAATTTCCAATAAATACAGCAAATGTCAAGACAGTCTGAACAATGAGTGGACTTCTTGGAACATTTATGCTGCATCCTAACCTGAACCACAACACAGCCTGCGCTTGGTTACAACCAACATATTACAACAAAGATTACAAACCTGAACAAAATTAAATTGGTAATTTCAAGAAAAACACAAGAGGAAAACTCAGCTTTTCTATGCAAGGTTCGCAAGGGTTTCTCACACTTCACTAAGACTGAGGTGCAACAGTTCAAGGATAGTGAATAAAGTCAGATATTTGAAATTTGGTGCCTAGCTCAGCATCTGCTTTTGGCACTGAGTTTAAGGATTCCCTATGGCCTGTAGTTCATCTTTCTGGGAACTGATTTCACCATGTGTTCTCCTTCCTTCACCTCTCCACCATATACAGGACAGATCTCACAATCACTTTCTTTGTATGGAAATTAGAGAAGACTACGCTTCCTGCGGAAAGCCATAAAAAAGTCCTTTGCACAGCCTTCTTGCACGAGAATAGTAGCACAAGGTTCAATTTTACTTGGTGCTAGAATCCAACACAAACAAAAAAATGCTGCCATTTAAATAATGTTACAATTTCTTTTATCAATCAAATTGCTAGATTTCAGGTTAGCTAAGAGGAAAGAGCACTACATTTTTTTTTCTTTTTTTAAACAGCCCTGTTCAGGCTATTTTAAAGCAGAAACCCTGTATGTTCTAGAATGGACAAAGACATGCTTCTACACGTGACAAAGACAAAAATCTGGAGACAATATGCGATACTTATCCACCAGGTTTGAATCTACAGTAATTAAATCTTAACTGCTTTGAGTGCTTCCCTAACAAGGAAGTGCAGTTTATTCTTGTAAATAAAAACTCAGTAAAATAATTCAATAGCAATTACCCACGTGCATCGGAACATAGCATATATTGTATAGAACATATACAGGCTATATGTGGACTATACACAAACTCACCCCCTGGATTCGAAGTTCCTCTTTCAATGGTGCTAAACTGCATTTCTTCCCCAACATGCAACTGTACCATCTGCAAACAACACATTAACAAAGCATTTTACAAATGCAGATCAACTGAAAATGGCAACTACCAGAAAGAACTACTTGGATCAGAAAACTGCAAGAACAATAGGAGATTTAAAAACAAAACAACAACAAAATAATCACACTCTTAAACAGAGACTAGGACATAGTACAACATGAATTGGAACAGAAAGCCCAAAGACAGACTCGACAGGGGAATCTCTTCGACTTCTTAGGAAATAAATTAAGTCTGTCACTGAAACAGTGCCTAAACAACCAAGAATCCTGTTTCAAAGAGTGACTTCACTTATGTGGAAGATGTTACCCCTTACAATAATTTTGTTTTCAATTTCTCCACTTTCTTTGGAGAATGAATCAGAATAAAAAGGAATATTCAACTACTGACAAACATTTGTGCCTCAGAAGCAGACCTACTGACTACCACTTCTGCTCATTCATAACTCGTTATCCAGGTTTCCATCACCTAACCCATATTTCACAAGGAAACCAACGCTGGAAAACAAAGGAAAGAAATTTATTTTCCCACTTCTGGTGGAGCTTATCCTTCCACCCAGCTCCATATCTGCAATATCTCCAAACAGTACACCTCTGTTCTTCATCTAAATTACTATTTGAGCTCTACAACCCCCTCTTCCATACTTTTTTGATGACTAGATCCAAAAAGGTTATTTGTAAATATAACGTATTTAAGTATGAAAATTGGAGTTCCCAGTTATCAAGGGACAGTTTCCTCAAGACTATGCATCTAAATTGAAGGCAAGCACTTTAAATTGCTCACATATACAAATTAAATATACTGTAAACTGAGGGGAAAAAAAATAGTATCAGTAGTATTAAGGGACAATTATTTAAATTGACTTCTTGCATAATGCAACATACAGAATTTCACACAGCAATACTAAAATTAAACCCCAAAATTTCTAGCAAAACTAAACAACACATCTTTCCCAAAATTATAAAATACTGAACCTGCGACTCCTAACTGAAGTGGGGATGGGGGTAAATAAGTCAAGATCATCTCCTGGCCCAAGGGAGTCTCTACCTACTACTAACAGTTCATTACTCACACCCTTTGGTAGAGTTGCCAAACCTTACCTCTAACTAAATAGGAAACAGTATTTTAAGTAAACTGTTCTTTCTGTAACAGATTCACCAAGGTAGTTTATTCAAAAACATGAACTGAACCATTCCTACCCCACAAACACATAGAGCTTATTTTTCCTAAATATGATACACAGTTAGCATGTGGGTATGTTCTATGCCTTACGCTATCAATTTATCAGATCAAGAGATACCCTCCTCTTTCCTAAAGGAGTGCTGTTGCCAAGAGGAACAATACAGGAATGATGCATTCCTTGTCATTCCACATCACCTTTTCAAGGCAAAGACTCCTTGCCTTGAGAGTAACATCAGCCAGTTCTCTACTACATTTGCCACTCCTTTCAAGGTGTCAAACAGCAACTTACCAAAAGCAAGTTTCCTCTGGATCTACACACACCATGTGGAACCAGAAACCACGTTGCTATTGCATTTCCAGAACTCATCACAAATGCATCCCCTGCCCCTACCTTACAGAACCAGCTGTAAGTGGAAGAACGTTTAAAATATATACATATATACCATCACTTCCTTTCTGACCTGCCTCCCCTCACCCATTGTATCACTGACTAAATTCAGAACAACCGTCTTAGCTTATATTTAGTTTTGAAAAAATCACTGCATTTATTTTAGACATGAATAAGAACATACACACCTAAAAGCTTGTCTACATCAAGTGGCCTAAAATAACATTCTAGCTACAAACTTTGACAGGCGCCAGTCATTTTTCAGTGTCCTTGCTGGCACAAAAAAGACTGCTAAAATTCTCAAAAGTTTAATTCTTCTGGCTTGTAATCACTTCTGAACATCAAAACCTCTATTTTATCACTCTGCCATACTATCTATCCCCTTTTTATAATTTACAAGATTTGGGGGATGAGAGAGAAAGGAAGGACATTAAATAAAAAAATTTTAAAAAAAAGTTCCAACATTTATGAAATTGCAACCTCTGCAAACCTTCTCAATTTTTTTTTCTTCAAAGCACTACAAGACAGAAGCACTTCTAACAGAGCTAAATGCAGTTTTGCTTTGTCTTGTTTTTCCAAAACCTGAATATGCTTCATTTTTTCAGGCCCATTACTAGAAAATAAACATTCTAAAGAAAAATTTTGGTAGTAGAGAGATGAAGATGAGATTATAATGCAATGCTCTGCCTAGAAGGGTCTAAACAAAAAAAAAGGCAGGCTGTATTTCCGTTGCTTTGGGCACTGATGAAGCTGTGGTAATAGACACATAAAATTTTGGCAGCTGTATTTTAGAAGGGTATTAAAAAACAACTGAAGGAACCTTCCAGAAGAGCTAGAGGAATACTGTACAGCACTGGGGGAGGGGAAGTCTGATAGTCAAAAAACTGAAGATGTGCCATCTGTTTATCATGTTCAAAACAAGGTCTCGCTATGGTTTTTGTTGCAGCTTATGTTCACCCAAAATAGCATTCAGTACAACGGTGCCCTTCAGTAGGCAAAGCTGCAAGTTACCAAAATTCAGCCAAGAAAAGATAGAAACTACCTAAAACAGATACCTAGGCAATGTCATAAATCCTCCCATCCCAGATGACCTTACGAATCAACACTGACTGTCTTTAGCAAGTTATAGGTGCTAATTTACCTGCAAGCTACAAGTGTCACTGGTATAGGGTTTTTTTTGCCTTCTGCCTTTAAATACCTCCAACGGTGAGTTATAATTGATGCTCAGGAACAATTAATTTTACATAAACCAAGACTAATTACTGATATGTATATATCATTAAACAAACCAAACAGATACCACCGGACCACAGCTACATTCCTTACTTAAAATAACATTTTCACATGATTTCCGCCAAAGAAGCAGATAAAAGGTGTTGCTTGTTTTTTTTTTTAACTGGACAAAGCACTTACCGTAACCTTTTTTTAAGTTGTAGACTATCATGAATAATTCTTTTGACAAATTCTAGTTCTCCCCCCTCAGCCATGATTTCTGTGATCCCTCCTGTATTTACAGAGCTGGGTGGGGGACGCCGCGGATTTCGAGAATTTACTCCCTGGATAAAAAAAAGAACATTTGAGATGAACATTTAATGAAATCTTAGGCTGCTTTGTACACTGGTTCCTGCCTCAGTCTTTAGTGGGTAGCAAGTGCCACCACCTCTAGTTATCCTCCCCCCATCAGAACCATGGATAACAGACAAAGATATGTTCAAAATAAGCATAACGAGTGAATTCCCTACAGTCTCAAATTTATCTAAGTTACTTGTCACACAGCAGTATCCTGGTAATATGAAATATGCTGTTCCAACACATGTAGGACATGCTAGAGTTAAGTTTCTGACTATATTCAGTGGGTATTGCAAGAACTGTTCTGAGCTGTATGATATTGCCTAAATCACTAAGGAAACAAAAAATACAGACAGGCACAATGCCAGAAGCTAATTCCTCTGTACCACTGTTATGCACTTGATTTCAGATTTACTAGCTGTCTACTTTCCAAACTAATTACCTAAGACAGTAAGAACTTGTGAAAAAATTCTACAGGTCATCCTCCACTTTAGAAAGGGTAACAGTTAAGTTTTTCAAAACTCCTTTGGGGCTCGGGGTGGGGCAGGAGAACACTTAAATGCTGTTTCATAATGATCTGGGATTTTCCACTCAACCTTCCCCAAGGGCAGAGATTAAATTGTTGCTACCCTCCCACTCACTGAAGTACACGCAACATTTAGTTTGTTAGCCTACCTTTGCTTCCAATTGGTTGGCAAAAAAGGGGGGGTTGCACATGCAGAAATCATAAACGATTTCAGATTCTTCTTTCAGTGCATCCATTAGTAGAGTCTTCTGTGGTACCTTAACCACTAATACAAAACGGGAATTTGGTCAGTAAATAACTTCATATTTTATCTAGCATGCCGTTTACATTTAAGTGTTTCTTGAAACCATATATCGTATAAAAACTGTACTTTCTAAACAATACCTTCTACAAAAAAAAGTAACAAATATCAGCATGCAAATAAAGACTTTAGGTTAACGATTACCATACAAACAGCTTGTATGTTTATACACCAGTAGTAAAATTACCTGAGTCTGTTTAAAACAATAGGAACTGCTTGAGTCATACTGAGTTCCCTGATGCAACTGCAAATTCACTTTAAGTCCTTCCAAAAATTAACACAATTGTCAGTTAATCACCCCACCGGCTCCTGAGAGATATAAGAAATCCCAGTCTAAACAGTTTTTTTTAACATAGGGAATTCTAGAATTGCACTCAAGAAAATGTACTGTTTGGTCTTTCTAGAGTGTAAAGCTAAGAAAGAGAAAGACTAAGATAAAGCTATCTTCACTGAAGTTACACAGCCCCAAGATTAGCTTCACATCTAATCTTATAATAAACCAGAATTACTGTGTTAACAATACTATGCATCCTGCACAGGAACTATTGTCTTAGACGATTTAAAAGAATCACAAGGGAAGAAAAAGATTAGAATTCCTTTCTGGACAAACCTTCTGCTTACTAGGGTCCACCAACTTACTATTACCCATCACAAGGATGAAGGCAAACATCCGACATAGATCTCTCTCTCACTGTCTTTCCCCAAAGGCTGTTATAATTCCCTTGGAAATTGCGGTCAAGTCCTGTCACACGTCTTCTGAAGACCGTAGGAGCTCCAGCCCAAGGAGCAGGAATTTAAACATGGATGAAGTCCAGTTAAAGCATGTATAAAAATTATTAGAACCAGGACTTCCTGCAGACTTTACCAGTCTTGCAATTCACAGATAATGCACTTAGAACGAAGACATTTAGAACGGAGGCAGAAGGCATGCCTCTCTCCTAACATTTACTACTACAGTTTATCATCATCCTAAGAATACAGAATTGTTAGGGTAGCAGGCAATTACCAAAGTTCCTGTTATATATAGCAAAAATAATACCTAGAACACCCACTAACTTTAAAGCTGCAGTTCTGTAAGTCACAAGCATTTCCAGTACAGAAGTTTACAGTCAAGGGAGAAACAAATTTTAAATCCTACGAGAATAGAAGAATTGCTAATTTTAAAAATACATTAACACATTGTTTCCTGTTTTATAATCTTAAATTTCTAAATTAAACACTTAGCATTTCTTCTTATATTAAGTTGTTCACATTTAAAATTGCTGATGTTAAAGTTTGATGCTTTCTTATCCCTGTAGATGTCCGTTCCCCTGCTCCCCTTATAACGTTAAAAATGGTGAAATAATAAAATCAGATTACTAAATACAAATTACTAATTACAATTCCACATGACACTCAAAGCCAAAAGTTCTTCAGACAGGCATTACATCTGATGGACTGATGGTTTTCAGGTCACAGCCTTCCAAGAAATCACTAAATGTCTCCAGAAGCTGCACAGGGCATACTTTTGGCACGGAGGTGTAACATAGCAGTTGCTGTTGCACACAGAGGAGACATTTACTTATATAAATGCTTTGAAATACCCAGCCCGCAGTATCAGAGTATTTCACTGCCTTTCTTGTTAGCAATACCCTTTTCAATGGAGGAGGGGAAAAAAAAAAAAAAGAAAAAACAAAACAAAACAAGGAATTAGTTTTTACAGTAGAGAAAGCAGACAACGGGGCTAAGATGAGCAGAAGTCTGCAAAAAGATTATGTTAATCTGAGACGTAATACATGGTCTATTGTACATACTTTCTAAAATTACTGCAAAGTTACTTAGAAGATGACATCAAAGAACTTGTTAAATGACATAGCACCGTTAACCACATTCCACCTACATAGCAAGCTGTTTAAGTGACAGTATGTGATTTTATTTGGAAATAAGAAAGTGAATAAAACAAACAGGAAGCAAACAATGTAATAATCATGTCGCAGAGCAATCCTAAATTACCTTGCAAGTAGTTTGAAAACTTCCAGAGGCCAAGTTGTTGAAAATCTCTTAACCTACCATTCCCTACCGGGTACTAATTTTTTTTTTTAATACCAGCAGAGAAATTCTGGCCATCATCCCATCCCAGTAAAACAGATGCACAACTCAGAACACCATGTAATTTTTTTTTTTTTTCACATTTACAATCAATCCCCACGTTTATCAGTTTCTGTTTTGCATATACGGGAGAGATTCCCTCTGGAAGAAAGTTACTGCAAACAGTATTTCACTCTCATCCAAAAAACATTACTTTTCTTCCTCTGGGAGAAAGAAGCTATGATGCAATTAGTAAATCATCGCCGCATTGCTGCTGTCTTTACTATCACTGAATTATTTTTTTTCCACTGAAGTTATTCCAACAAGATCTCCAAACGAAGCTATTTGGCAAAAATTTCACGACAGACTCTTACAACATAACAAAAATTGTGTGCGTTTGTTTTTTTTTTTTTTTTTTAAAAACAGAGGTACACAAAGATTTCTAATCTGACTCCAAAATGCCTTGCTAAACAAGTTACTAGCTACCGTAGCATACTCAGCTCTAGCTGAGCAATTCAGGCCCAGGAGTTAGAGAGTGGCAGGGTGGATTATTCCTAGGCAGCGTCTGGCTACAGGTACTTCCAGTGGTACTCCCTTGCCTGTGGCTCTGCCCGCCAGCAATCAGTCATTTACTCTGACTTGTCACCTTTGGCACAACAGCTTCACATGAGGCATTTTCCTTTGCCAGAGGTTTTTCCAGTATAGCGAAACACCACCGCACCACTAAAAATCCTATGATGGCAGCAGTACAGAAAAATGTCGTTATTCTCCACATCAAGTTCTGGATCTTCACGACTGACATGGAGGACAGACCAAAACGACAACAGTTTGGTAAAAAGGACACTTCCAAAATCCAGCAAAAGTAAAGTTTTTATTTCAGAGCTGAATAATGGACCTGCTTTTCAGTGTGCTGAGTTCCCACAGAAAATCTTCCAAGGTCATCCACTGACCAAGTCTGGCATACTGCTACTACCACAGGCACCATTAGGACCTAATTCAGAAATGAGGACAAAGGACTCTCTCTGTGTCAGATACATATATGTGGCAGCGTCATGCAAATTATCTGAGGGGAGCGCTCCAGGTCTCCTAGTAGCAGAAACAGCACAAACTCTGAGAAATACCTCACTAACAGACAAAAAAATATAGAGAGAGGAAAACAGCCCAGGGTGAAGTTTAACTTTCAGATTTTTGTAAGGATGAGTAGTTCTCTATCCACACATCCCATTCTAGGCAAGCTGTGACTTCCTGACTTAAGCATATGCAGACCTTAGTAAACATTCTGCTTCAGTAAAAACAACTGAGCGTGTAGTTGGCAGGTCTACGGATTCTGATATGCCACTGAACATGGCAAAAATACATCACAACGTTTGTATGCTACAAAATACCTTATTACATCATACCTTTTATAAGATCAGACAAGTTATTCTGTTCCACATTCTTCTTGGCATAATTGAAACACATATCATCCACTTCTGTTGCAAGAAAATACCAGCCATTCAAAGTTGCTCCGAGTAATGGGTATATGCAAGATGCCCCTGTCCCTGCAGAAATGAAAAGCCATGAGAAAGGCAAAACAAGTCTCTGGTGTTATACGCAGTGTGGCTGTTAACTTTTTTTTGTTACTTTTTACAACAAAAAGAACTAATTTCAAGAAAACCTTAGTTACTGATCATCTACTACTCAGTTCTTTAGTGAACTTTATTTTCATAATTTGAAATACAAAACTGTCAAATATTCATTTTTAATAATTTTTAATGCATTTTTAATTCAATAACCTGGAATAAATTTTCGAGTAAGTTATCAAGTTCTTCAGCTATTTTTTTTCTACGTGACAATGATTAATTTACACATCAAAAGCCAAATAACTGTTTTTACTAAAAAAAAACCCACAAAACATATCACAAATGTATTTCTTCTGCATTTTTCTATTATCCACAACAAATAATTTACTTCAATGCATACAGCAACCACAAAAAAAAAAATTACATTTCTGTTCCATCGGACTGTTTTTCCCTAATGCCCGAAACAATCAAAGAAACAGGGGTGCCAATTAAGATATCTAAAAAGATAGCCAGACAGTTAAAAACTTGGTAACAAATAGAAATATACGCTAGCACAAAATTATTCCTTCTCATAATTATGGCATATCTAGGTGATCCAATTACAAACTGCAGTCAAATTTAGGATTAAAGTCAATGGATACAAGAAAAGGGAAAAATATCTCACCACCACAAAAGTTGAGTTCAGAAATATAGAGAGTCTACTGTTATACTGACTTATTGAAACACAAATAACAATGTCTGTCAGTAGGCAAAAGCATGCAGTTATTTCCAGTGCTCCTGTAACGTCCCTCTTGAATGACTTACTGCTTTCCCAGAGCTGGAACACCAAAGCTCACTGCAAACTCAAACTGAAGATTTTTTTTAATCCTTGGAGGACTTAAAGGATCTGTTTCTTCTACTTAGCCACCTACCATGATGAAGTTCATAGAAATTGTTTTCAAAAATGCAACCTAATAGCACATACACAGAAGCTGGCTAACAAGTTTAAAAGTCATGAAAGGAAAGCAGCTGTACACACACCACGTGATGATATAAAACTTGTATCCATCACAAATCCAGCTAAAAAAGCAAGTCAGTAAATTTCAGGAATTAAAAAATTCCATTAAAAAAAAAAAACCACGTTAGCAAATACCAAGAAAATATTCATATAAAAAACAGGCATGGTAACTGAGATTACTGAACCTAAACTTTGAGGAAGTCAGTAACTTTAGCGTTTTAATGTCAAGCATTAAAACATAAGTTAAAAAGGAAATTTCAGCTTTTCTCGATTTCATTATGAGTTTAATTCAGCACAAAACAATCTTCAAAAACAAGCCTTTGAAATCGTAAAGGAAGACTCTATTGACAAAAATAAAAGAGGTGAATTAAATTCAAATGTACCAGCACAGGTACTTTTTAAAAAATTCATATAGTATCACCAAAAATTTGGAATCCAAATGCCAATTTTATTATTTGTATGTGAATATAGCTCCTTGCTCCCACAGATTGCCGTTTTTATTTCTAATGAAAACCAACTTATGCGCATCAGTGTACATCTTACAAATTCACCTCTCTACTGAATAACTGTTTATATTAATTTACTGCTTAATCCAGATATTATCCAGATATTGTCCAATAATCCAGATGTTGAAACTGAACAAGCTGCAGTGCTCCTAGACACATGCACTGGACGATATCGCCCATCTCTGGATGCTTAGTCCAGTTTAAAAAATGTTTTGTTTTCAACAATATACAGGAAATCTTTGACCACCTACAACCAAAAGGCAGCTTTGCTAGTATTTGCCTGGGCTTCTAATTAAGCCTCTTTTACAATTTAGCTCATGAAAATATCTGCATTTAAATAAATCAAACGAAGTTTAAAAAAAGACAGATCATTCATCTGTCAAATGCACCTGACACCACAGAAAACAAATTATTAAAAGGAACGCTAGAAAACATTGCCATGCAACTCTCAAACTCTCTCGTGCAGAGAGAGTATAAGTAAAATTAACAGATTGCTAATATAACGTAATTCACTAAGTTAGAAGATTGGAAAGAAATGCCATCTTTTTTTTTAATTCCTTTTAAATTACATTTCTGCCTGCGTTACTAGCAGCATAATTTTTGTATAGCATACAAAAGATACACTCAAGAGAGTTCAAGGCCACAAAAAGCCAAGTAATTGCCTTCTGCAGTCACTGTGCAAAGAAATCCTACCCACCAAGAAGCCAAGTGAAACACCAGTGCCGTCAGATTGCCCGTTTCACCATGGCAAGCACGGTTCCGATTTTTTTGTTTCTCTGTGGATGCGTAACGAATTTTATCAGCTAGTTTCACTGACAGCAAATAAGGAATTGAACGTTCCTGAGTACCTATGTCAATGCCTCGCCTAAGGACCTGCTTGTCAGCATCCTGGTGACCAATGAGATCCTCCACCCAGTGGATGTAGTTCAGCCTCAGGGGAACGGTCGGAATAAGCCTTTCCACGGGGATGTCGATCGTAAGCCCAAAATCCTCCTTCAGGAGGGTACACGTCAGAGCTCTCACCGCCTCAGGGTCCTTGAAATTCAGGCTGAAAAGTACAAGCAGCGGTTATGGGTGCCAGCGCCCTCTGGCTCGCCACACCCCGGGGGG